GGCAGACTTCCGGAGCACAAAATGGGAGGTCTTCGAAGCACAAAATGGGAGGACTCCGGAACATAAATGGGAGGTATACGGAGCACAAAATGGGAGAGCTCCGGAGCACGAGTGGCAGTCCCCCGCTGGAGAAACCCCGCGGCTCTGCCATTTCTGCTCCGGAGGTATGCCGTCGACTGTCTGAGTGAGGGCAGACAAGCCGCGGCTCTAAAAGGGCTTTCCGGCCCATTCGCGGCCTTGATTTGGGGACGTGGCTGGGGTGACTCGCGGCCCTCCATTAATGTCATTATCATTGCACCGGTCGACCCGCGGGAGGAATATGGCTTACCGGCTCAACCGCGGCTCTTAATGATGGAACGGAGCATTGCGGCTGAGCCACGGACCAAAATCTGTGTAAGAAACTCCGGCCGAACAGCGGCCTATGTCAACTGAAGGCCGCGGCTCGGCCGCTCCTAGTGTCTTAGCGTAGAGGATACTTGCATGATGTAAGACGCAAGGTCAGGCTGTCCTCAATGTCCATAACCTTGGATGTGTTCCCAGTCTGCCATGCAGAAACAAGACCAATATGAGGCACTGTAAACACCTTGGATAACATCTGGCGTTATCCCATTTCGAACTCGGACTTGGTTTCGGAAGCTGCAATGTCGGTGTCTTCAATTTTTGTTTTTTTAATATATAATTTGTTATGTGCCAGTGAATAGAAGACACTTCTACCGTATACCTGTGTCCGGCTTGGGCAGTCAAATTTTATATGATTCAGTGACAAAGGGGAGCCCTATGGATGGTTTGCCAAGGCCCAATTAAGCCGAGCTAGAATGAACTACGGACGACCTGGCAACCAGCTGCGGCTGAGCAGAGGCCCACCGCCGGCTGAGCCGAGGCCCATTTCCCTGGCGGGTGGTGGGAGCTGCGAAATTCCAGTTGGAAAAGGGCCAGGCTCGTCCGCTCTCGGAGTCTGAGTACGCCAGTTATCTCAACTTCTTACTCGAAACTAGCTGGGTCGCCGCCCAGCCACCATTATTCAGGGCCGACTGAAACAAATTCTGTGTATGACTTGCACTTACAAATTTGCCCCTTCTGTTTCTAGCGTTCACTCTGCTGTCATCTTTTCTTCCCCCACCCCCTCAAGCAAACACGTCGTATGTTAGGATGATATGGTTTTTCCGAATAATCGTTCCGCGGATAACAAGTACAGTATTGAAATAAGCTTTCCGCTAATGTTACGACATGTGCCACATGTCGAAAGACCACGGTCACCAAATATCCTTCCTCGTAAGATTAAATGTTACATAAATCGATAAAAATGTTACTCGCAAACCTTTTTTCTTATGTTTTCTTCTGAAGTTAGCTATTGTATCGAAAATCATGGAGAATGTTATTTGAGTACGTTTTCTTGTTTCATATTGTACCTAGCAAAATAAGAGAAATCTTATCACTTGCACTTTAGAATACGGCGACGCTAAGTTTCGTATCCAGACACGTTTGATGTATTCTAGATAAGGAAAGCTTGAGTTCACTTGTTTGAGTTCACTTGTTTGCCACAATATTTACATTTGTATTCTATCGTCTACACCTTTTTCATCTTTTTCCTTCGTTTTAACATTGGCACAGTCCTGAATGAGCTATCTCACTTCTAAGGGCATACGCTTGACTATCACAGTGTGCAAATTTCTTAGCACTTTCTTTTTTTTATTCGTAATTACACCTCACAATTTTTTCGTTTAGAAGAACATTTTTGAGACGTCAGCTCAACGTAAATAGTAGTTTGTCTCATAAGCTTTCTCAATTTTGATACTTTTTCGCAATAAATCACGTAATCCTTTTCTAAATCAAGATGTAGGGTACCTTTCGATAAAGTAAAGCAAGCTATTCGAGAGGGCATGTAAGTGTTTGCACCAGCCTCACAAATCACAAGTCAAAAGTCGAAATTTGGGAACTTTCAGACTAAAAACGTAAAAGTTTTCACATAAGATATTCATATATGTGACCAATGACTTCCGTTCGTTCGTTCTTTGGATCCCGAGGAATGTGCGATGGCGAAGGCTGACCAAACTAAACCAAACCAAACTGCAAACTATTCGACCAAACGTCTCCGCAGCTATGCAAACAAAACTCTAAGACCTTGGCAGACCGATAGTTAACTGCCTGACCAAACACTCACCTTTTGAAACGCCGATGGAATTCTGATGCCAGAGCGAGAGCTGTATGGTTAAACGCTAATGGCACAGCTATTTATAACGTCTCCGGCGGGTCAGAAGATCTGACCTAGGTACGGAGCGAGTTCACGAGTGATGGATAGGCATTCTTCCTTACGATTCATTTTAGGGCTTTTGGCATGGATTCAAAAGGAACGGCGCGAACTGCGGCGACGAATAGATAGGCGAGACAGCGCGGCCGCTGTGTGTTCGCATTGGAGAGCACTTAGACGGCAGGGATAGATCAAGAACATCTACCCCACTAGGCACTCACATGACGCTGAAGCACGCGGAGACAAATTTTGACGTCTCAGTGAAAATCCTGGCGCATGAATCACATACACCGGCTCGCAAATGTTTAGAGACCTTTTGGATCCATGCCAAAAGGCCTAAAATTCGTAAGGAAGAATGCCTATCCATCACTCGTGAACTCGCTCCGTACCTGGGTCGGATCCAGGGTCAAGCAAGGGGTGTGGCACACGATCGCTGGTTACGACTTCCCCCCCCCCCTGATTGTTGTCTTAATAAGACCCCCCCCCCCTAAACTATATACCTAAGATAGCATTAACAGAGTTTTCTGAGAGCTGTACGCCCGATTTTCTGTGACTGCACTTTACAATCACACGTAATTTGACGGCTGATTTTGATCTGAATGGGCATATTGAAAGGGCCATAATTTTCTTATGGGTGGGGCGTTCCGCTCCAAATTTCCAACGTAGCAGGAGGAAGCTATGTGCTCAATATTTATGCCAGCAATGGAGCGCTTTCTAGATTTTGAAGGCAAGTTAAGGGGGTGTGCCGCAACCCATTAACTATATCAAAAAAACATTTTTAGCGGACAGTATTTATATAAATCGATAGTCTAAACCTTGTAGATTCCATAGGACTGTTTGGAGGCTGATTTGTCTTCTTAACTCTAAGTAGTATTTGGTGAAAGCACAGCGATCAAAAGCGAAAAATGGGAAAAACGAGATTTTGATTGGCTTCTAATTCCACATTTTGCAGGTCTTCTGAGGCGGGATTCCTGAGATGGACAAAGAAGGAGTAGTGCTTTGTCTTGAGTGCAAAAACGGATAGCTAACTCACCTTGAAACAAAGTTAACCATGTTGGAATTTGACCATTTCATTTAGGTAGCTTAGTATCTTGAATCGTCAGAATTCGCTCACACTTTGTCTACAGGGGTTGATTGACATGCTAATTGTGGATATGATACGAATATCATGTTATCACTATCATCAGATTACCCAACTACGACCCCTCCCCTTTTGACTCCTCAATACGACCCCCCCCCCCCCCCCCAGGTGTGGCGTGCCGCACCCCACGCTTGACCCTGGTCAGATCTTCTGACCCGGCGGAGACGTTATAAATAGCCGTGCCATTAGCGTTTAACCACATAGCTCTCACTCTGGCATCAAAATTCCATCGGCGGTTCAAAAGATGAATTTGGTCAGGCAGTTAACTATCGGCCTACCAAAATCTTAGAATTTTGTTTGCATAGCTGCGGAGACGTTTGGTCGAATAGTTTGCAAGTTCTGTCCATTCCAGGCTCTGAAGAAGGCGACTTGCCGAAACGTCAGCCAATAAACTGTTAACAATCTCGGATTACGGCTCAGTATCATAAACAACAATATCAACACCATGCCGAGGTTCATCGAGAGTCGCACATTTCATCTTTCTATATTGTTTCTTATTTTGATTCTTCGCGTGTTATCAATTGTATTCTTCTCACAGATGCCTTACTACCTCACAGAGTTCAGAGTTCAATCACAGTTTCTTCACAGAATCCCTCACAGCAATTTACAGGCTACTCGGGTGACATATATTCTTCGTGTATTATCATCGTGGCGCTTTGTAGTTGTAGTTGCATTATCATAATAAAGGTTTAGATACCCAAGTTTGAGGTGCTCGCTGTGTACGAAAGTCCCGCATGGCAACCAATAATACACAGTCCATGTTTTCATACTAGAATCTGAGAAAACTATTATTTTCAAGCTTTCAAAAGCGATGCTGCACTGTTCTCATAAAGGTAAACATGTACTACAAGTCCTTAGAAGTACGATCGCAGATTTCCAGCTTGTTAAAAAGCTCTAGTCCCCGCTAAGTATTGAATTTTGCTTTTTTGTTACGGAATTTCATGTTGAAAACATATTTCTCGGGAACCAGATCTTGCAGAAAGCTGAAAATCTGTCTTTGTACTTCTAAAAACTTGTGATACATCTACCTATGTGTGAACAGCGCAGCATCGCTTTTTTGAAAACATGGATTTTTTAGTTTACTTGGTCTCTAACACAGAAAGAGACAAAGCAAGGCGTATAGGCTGTATCAGCCAGCATCGACCCCGCGCCAATATGACATGCGACGACGCACCGTCGCTTGCGACGTGCCTTAACGCGTAGGAGTTCGCACGCGCCACACCGCACCTTCGCAAGTTGCCGCGACGTCGCATAATCATGCTGGCTGGTACATCCTATATATATATGTCTTATGTGGAATGTAAATGCATGTGCGAGTTTGAAATTTGGTAAGTTTTCTCTGGACGAAGATACTAGAAAGTTCAAATTTTTTGGGTATGAGAAACTTCTCAAATTTTAGCCTATAAATCGTGTTGTGCTGAAACTGGTGCGAACTCTTACACGCCCTCTTAAATAACTCACTTTCTACCAAATAGTGCCCTGCATCCTAATTAAAATTAAGAAGTCTGCGGCTTATTGACGTAAAAAGTCAAGTTTGAAAAAAGTTACGAGACAATCTAATATGACGACTCAACTAGTAGGAGTGTCAAACGAACACAGTGCATAGTCATTGCCCTCTATCGTAATGTGGTTAACCAAGAAAATGCGATGTTCAACTATGGTTACAAACCAAGGTTGTCTTGTGAGCACCTCTTCGTCGTCGAGTTTTATTAAAAATTTATCAACTTTGCATGTTATGACCAATATGTGGTGTTGGAATGTCATTAGGTTCTGCAACTTTATCAATACCATCCGCATCTTCTCACTTTAACGCCACCAATGTCGAAAGAAGCGCAATGCCTTTTGACTCTTCGAATTCTTCTGGGTCTTCTTCCGTTGGCGATATTGAAAACTCCGCAAGCCTAAAATCTGTGAATGAATGATGGCATTGCGACTCAAGACTTACCAAAATCAAGAAAATCAAGAGGTAGCGGATACTGATAAACATCACTTCTCTGAAAATTATGCATAAAATATCATAATCTCAAACTCGCAATGCACGCAATGGATCATTAAGTTATTTCATGAGTTCGTAGAGTTTTCATTCTCGTTTCTTTAAAGAGCAATTGATTTGCGACAAGGCGCGCAAATCGTTGAGAAGAGCTAAGCATGCTCTTTCAAGTAAACTCATTGTATTTAACACGTTGACGACGAGCCATTTTTTTGAGGTCTGTCCCTGTGGACGAAACGTTTCCGTGCATCCCTACGCGTGGTCCATGTATGTATGCATGCATCCATGTGCGAGGTACAAAATGTGCAAGGCCCTCCCCCTCTGGCAAGCTCCGCCCACTCGACCAAAAATGCCGCAAATTGCCCAAATCTCAAGAATTTATGCGATTTTCGCCACTTTCGAAAAGTGAACGGAGCTTGCCACTCAGGGGGCGAAGTTTGCCTGACGGTGGGCGGGGCCTGGCTAGAAGTTCTTAAGGTCTTTGCGTTCATCTACGGCCTCATCCATGCTTTTTGTGGACAAAAAAGGTCCTTGTGAGAGGCATAGAAGTGGGGCGGAGTTTGTCAAAAAAGGCGGGGCTAATACATGAAGTACATTTGAGCCTCTGTTGATTATATGAAAAAAACTGAGAGGATTGGACATATAGCATTGAAATTAAGGCTGCCGCGCACCATTGCGCGGCACTGTCGTAAACGTGTTAAGGAAAATGATCTAATTGGATTTTCAGCTTCCAAAGATGGAAATCTCAATTGCCAAAAAGAGCAGTTTCGGCGTTTGCGCAATTTCTCTCATAAGAAAAAATATTCAGGCATAGCTTTTTGCCTATCATAAAAGATGGTGTTGCCCGTCAATATGAGACTCAAAAAAATAATTTACTTCAAAAAGCCAAGGGTTAAATGAGGTGTCGCTTGACCAAGATTCTTGTAGGACGGGCAGGAGATATCGCACTGAAAACTGCAAGACAAAAACAAATCGGCAGTTTATAGTTACGCAACCCAACTGCATCGTTTAAACCAATCTCTACGGCAGAAAAGGGGTCCAACGGATTTTTCTTACGGCAAGATATGGCTCCGCACAGCAACGTCAGCAAAATTGTACTACATGATTTGACAGAAAGGTACACTAGTATCCAATATATTCCTTAGATCTCGCTCTAGGAATATATCACCCGTTTCCGTCTATCGCAATCATACGAACGGCCTTTGGTGCGATTCTGAAGACGATTTAAAGCGCTGGCTAGAAGGCTTTTTTATCAGACTTTATGAGCTTTTACAAAAAAATGACGGCAAGGTGGCAGCAGAATATGGTGTGCAACAATAGAACTTACATTACTACCAATTTTTGACGAAATTCTGTCATTTCGTTAGTTTGTGTAAACTTTACGAACTTATGAAACAACCTAATACTATTCAATTCGTAAAGCAAGAGCACACAGCATCACAAGTTCATGCGGCTTATTGGGCTGTACTAACGAGTGTTACGTAGCTGATAGCTAAAAAAAAGCTAAATTATTGAGCTTCTGTTCCATGATCTGTCCTTTTGAGTCTTTACCTCTGTAACTCGCATTGTTTTAGTTATATCTAGGAAGATCAAATTTTGACAAGAAATCCGATCCATCCAAAATTCGAAGCTAAAATCAAGACAGTTTGTGTTCCCAAAAATTTTGAAATAACAATTCAGCGATTGGCTTGCTGTTGAAACACTGTTTGGAGTCCCAATCTTGAAACACCTTTCGGAGTTTATATTCCGCCGCCTTAACAGGGTAAGTGGTGACAGCGTGTCGAACTGCAATGTACAGCCGAGTGCAAATAGCAGAAAGAACATCGTAAAACATGTTAAACATACATTTGCCCTCTAGACATGCTCGTCCGCTTCACCATCAAGATGGTACACGACCGCTATGCTCCAATGCGTTTTTTATCAGAAGCACGACTTCAAATTGACGCAAAACTTCAAATTGACGCTATATAAACAAATTAGGGGACGAGTGGCGTAGTGGTTTGAGGCGCCGCTATGAGCAGATCGGACACAGGTTCGATTTCCGCCCATGGGCCAACCAAGCCCTCTACCCTCCGGGACCGGTAAATTGGTACCAAAGTAATCTGGGAAGATAAAAGCACTGATTTAAAAACGGCTGGCCCCCGCAAGTCACTGTAATAGGCTCGCACGCATACAATTGCCTCTTCGACTATGAAGTTAGTGTGTGCGTTCTGCGCATGCCCTCAGAGAGTATTGAAGACGCCGAATCCTTTAATCCTTTATCCTTTTATAAACAAATTACTCGTTCTTTCCCTGTCATAGACATCAAATATGGACTGTACATAACAGTGGCGTTAGTTACCTGCCCATTTTTATAACCTTATAAGTAACTTTCAAAAAGTACGCCACTGGTACATAATGTTACTCTCAACTATATTGCGAAAACGTTTTGGAAACTTATGTGTCGCAATACCTGTTCTTGAATTTTATGATTTTTAGATAATCACCTAAACAACTGAGATGGTTCGCAGCACAAATCACAAAAACTACACAAGTTTGAGACCTTTTCTGCTGGGACCAGAGCTGAAAAAGCTGTCAGAGAGCTGAAAAATTTTTACACAATGAAAAGACCGAACCATGTTGTCGTTCCCTCGTTTTTTGAGCCATGAATAGATCTTATATATAAAGCTGAATGTCTGTTTGTATGTCTGTATGTCTGTCTGTATGTCTGTCTGTATGTCTGTATGTACGTATGTTCCGAATAGAAAATTCCATTTCTGAACCGATCGGGACCAAACTTGGCACACATACACTTTGGGCCCCGGCGAGTGTCATAGGCTACTTTTCGTCATCGATCGATATCGATTTTATCGATTTTTATCGATTTTTTTGCTGAGTTCACCTACGGGGCTGGGAGTTGGCACAGGGGGGTAATCGAGCATGGGGATTCCGAATACAATATTGGTTTTCAGGATTATCGATTACTTTTATCGATTTTATCGATTTTTTTGCAAAGTTTGAGCTACGGGGGTGGGAGTTGGCACAGGGGGGTAATCGAGCATGGGGATTCCGAATACAATATTGGTTTTCAGGATTATCGATTACTTTTATCGATTTTATCGATTTTTTTGCAAAGTTTGAGCTACGGGGCTGAGAGTTCGCACAGGGGGGTAGTCGAGCATGGGGATTCCGAATACAATATTGGTTTTCGGGATTATCGGTTACTTTTATCGATTTTATCGATTTTTTTGCAAAGTTTGAGCTAGGGGGCTGGGAGTTGGCGCAGGGGGGTAATCGAGCATGCTGATCATCCCCAAGGGGGGTGATCAGCATGCTCGATTACACCCCTGTGCCAAATTCCAGCCCCCTAGCTCAAATTTTCAAAAAATCGATAAAATCGATAAAAGTAATGGACGATCTTGAAAACTAATATTGTATTCGTAATCTGCATGCTCGATTACTCCCCTGTGCAAACTCCCAGCCCCGCAGGTCAAACTTTACAAAAAAAATCGATAAAATCGATAAAAGTAATGGACGATCCTGAAAACTAATATTGTGTTCGTAATCAGCATGCTCGATTACCCCCCTGTGCAAACTCCCAGCCCCGCAGGTCAAAATTTACAAAAAAATCGATAAAATCAATAAAAGTAATCGATAATTCTGAAAACTAATATTGTGTTCGGAATCCCCATGCTCACTTCCCCCCTGTGCCAACTCCTAGCCCTGTAGGTGAACTCTGCAAAAAAGATCGATAAAAATCGGTATAATCGACATCGATCGATAACGAAAAGTGGACTGTGACACCCGCCGGGGCCCGAAGTGTATGTGTGCAAAGTTTGGTCCGGATCGGTTCAGAAATGGAATTTTCTATTTGGAACATACGTACACGGGTCTAGCTGGCAGGCCCGGCGGAGCCGGGCAAGCCAGCTAGTTTAAAATAATAATCTTTGATGGATAATTTAATTCACGTTCAAGCGAGTGTTTACAGATACCAAAGGTGAGCTAAAATTTCAAGTTATCTCTCTTTTTTATGTACAATCCAATGCTGCATTCAAGGAGAACATTGTCTTTGCTAAATGTTTTTTGACGAATGACTAAATGACTTTGATGAGCTTTGATGCTTTTCTAATTTTTCTTGATAAAACGCTCGTCATTGAGCACAGTTCTGCAACAGAGATTACTTGTGTTTTTTGTAGCTTTTCTAGTTTTAAATCAATGGGCACAGATTAAAGTTTGAATAACCGTGCGATGTCATGAAGAACTTCGTTGTCAAAAATTCTCAAAGCCAACACATCCGGGCCCCGTCTTGGGAGCAGAGCCCAAAAATTCAAACGCAACATCTGGGCGACTAGTAGTAACCAACGCCAGTTGCAGAAGCTTTGCAGGAGGATCTTCGAAAGTACAGGCGTTACTGACAGCGGTACAGGCGGGTACAGGCGTGGTACAAGTACAGGCGTTACTTAAGTTACTGACAGCAGCCGAAGAAAGACAAAGTTTGAGGCATGCCGAAGAAGTCTTCGCGAGTATCGCGTACATGGCAACACTATCGAACTTTGAACGAAGACGCAAGCATGACTTCTTCCCGATATGAGACGATCTCTATCTATCGCGAAGATTTTGACCAACCTCTTCCCCTCATCAACACTCGGCAAGATGCCCGTTGTTCCCACTGGAGAAGTACCACCACGAATTTCACCTAGAGTGCGCACAGGAATTCAGACCATGGAGTCGTCCACGGCTCCAGACCAGACTACTTTCCGAAGAATATCTGCGAGCCAGAGGACGACGCTTACACGAAATTCTCGCGTCACACCTGATATCCTACCTTCATAAGGAGAAAGGTAAGATGTTAGGTGCTGTAATGAGAACAGATACTTTTCAAAGCAAAAAATGAGCGGTCTGCAGAATTTGAATGAGTGGATCAGGCGTAAAGCTACAAAATCTCAGCCAGCCAAACCTTTTTAGTAGTTCTCAAGGTTTTTAGTAAAGTCTTGATCAGTCGTTAGCTCAAACTCTTCAAATTTCTTACTAGGTATACGAGCATTTTTCGACTTGTTTTGTCATTTTGGTAGTCCATAGGATAGAAGCACTTCATATCAAAAACGCGTAGTTAGAATTTTGGGAGCAACTCAGGTCCACCACTTGGAGACGACACGAGATAAAACTAAGGTTACTACTTTGCTATAATTTTAGAACGGCGGCCTTTTTTGCCTTTGACACCAGGTTATTCATGATTGAGATGAGTTTTAGAGGCAAAGTATTGGAAATTGTAGCAGATAGTGGTTTTTCTAGCCTAAAGATGTTTTTTTTGGGCAGTTTCGACTTTGTAGTGCTCCATCAAAATCTAAGGTAGTCGAATCTTTTGTTCAAACATTTATGTGGAAAAGCAGAGTTTAAAAAGATCAGAAAAGTGCCAATTTCAAGTCTGACACTAGCCTTGAAAAGAATGTCTTCCCATTTAGAAATTACAATTAGCGATTATACGAAAGTCAACTTTAACCGTCAATCTCAACGATCTCAACATGTAAAAATCATGAATAAAACGAAAATCAAAAGTCCACTGACAAGTTGGACTTGTATGGACAAACAGCAAGACACGACTGACATTTAGCTTATTAATAACACTTGTTTATTCAACACTATCAATTGTTCAGTCTTCATATAAAACAAATTAAAACGTGGCGGTGCACAAAAAAAAGCATGTTGAGTTTATCCAAAAGGAAGAAAAGTTAAAATACTTCTAAAATCAAAAACACTGTCTTGGGAACTGCAGAAAGATAGTAGAAGATAGATGAACTTACGAACGACTGCAAAGCTAGTTCTTTACAATAAATTTTTCTAAACAAAACAACCAAGCCAGAAAACATTTAACTAGCTGACATTGTACTACCATAGCTTCTTTCCGTAAACCATTTTTTGATGGCGCTTGCACTAAATCATAACAAGACTTTTCTTATCCCAATTCATATTCAAATTA